TGCAGCATAGTCTGTATGAGCACATGGGTCTGTGCTCTGGGACACAAGGGTTCAGGGGCTGGGATACCTAAAGGAGGTGCACGGATATTGCCACCCTTGTCATCAATCAACAATCCAATCGACAATCCAATCAACAATCCAAGAACGAGCAGGGGTGGTATGTACTGATATGTACACTCAAAGTCGCAGCTGTCACAGTCTACAAAATGTGAGGGTTCTGCACTGAGGCAAAGAAGGGTTAAGGGTTTAGGGGTTTAGATTCCAAAGGTAGGAGGATGAATGTGGCCACCCTCGACATCGACCAACATACAATGAATGAAGGGGGGAGTAGCTAGCGTCTCATTGAATATTAGTGGTGTGCTGTCGACAGACTGAAGCGGTGATCCCCCCTCGTGCTTTAATTGGTCCCTGTTTATCAATATATAAATGTATAAAGGGACGCTGCACCCGTTTCCATAGCAGGTGGAGCTCCCCACCAATAGATGGAGCCTCCTCCGAGGAATCTTGATGTGTATGCTCCTTCCAGCGCCTCAAGCTCATCACGGGGTTGGTTAAAAAAGAGCGGGGATGCAGACAGGACTGCGTAGTGATTGATCATGTAGAATTGGTTACCTTAGGGCTCTGCTTTGGGGGGCAAGGGCCACAGATGGAATAGGGGGGAGGGGCGACAAACAAACAAAAGCATGAAGTACAAGAACTGAGATATGCATTCGAGGAACAATGTATGGTATGAATAGGGTTAGGCTAGACGTAGGCTGCCATGCAGGCAAGCAGCTCAGGCTACTGCGCACTGCACAGTGCTGCCTGCCAAATCTCGCTTCCGCAGAGGAGTCCTTCGGCTGGCTGCCATCACAACTGCCATCTCTGTTTAAACGAGGAATTTAAATGTTCAGGGACACTGGACCCGCTTTCCAGCAGGTGCTGCTCCTGACCAATAGATGGAGCCTCCCGGGAAGTACTAGTGCTGCCTGCTCTTACCAGCACCCCTAGCATCCACTCGGGTTGTTCGTGGAAAAAAAAGAAAAAAGAGGATATCATTGGGGAACTTCCAGTGGAGGCTGTGTCAAGGGGAGGGATTATCTGCTACCCGTATCAATAAGAACGAAAGATCAGAATAGTAGTACGCCTAGTTCATGACGGAAGTAACGAACCGATGGTGGCCTAGTATGTCCTGATGATGGAGACTAGCACTGCTTAAGCCACTCGTACACGGCCCCAGCCTTGCAGTCCGAAACTTGTCTCCACAAGAAAACGAGGCCGAAACGTCAAACGCATGACCGACGTGAGGAAAAAATGGGTGGTGGCTGCGAACTCACTAATGACAGAGGCTAGGGTCCCTCCAACAGGAAAGGGTTCACCTATGGGACTTGTAGTAGAATGCCTATGCCTAGCGCTCGAAGTGCCCATAAGACAGGGCTCGTCCGACTATGCTTCAATCAGGACTCCTGCAGGGAGGTGAGGACCTCTGCTTAGCCCTGATACCTACAACGACTGCCTGGTCAGGTCACTCCCATCGGATGATAAGAGGATGATGCCCAGGATGGTAAAACACTGCAGTAGGATTTTGGGAGTACGGGTGCACCAGGGACAATAATAAGAGTAAAAGGGTGGGATGGGGCCCACATAGATCATCTGGATAATCAAATGGCCAAATACTGAAGAGAATGTCATATGCCCATATGCCTAGTATCCAGCCTCTACAACAACCTAGACTTAAAGCACTAGTACCTCCAACAGCGTTGGGAAATTAGGGAAAACGGGCACTAGCCTCTACCACAACCTGGACTTTTGTACCACCACTACCCCCGCCGTCATAAATTAGGGGAGAGCGGTAGCACAGGTCCATGAGGGCTACCGGTAGCGCAGTGGGGGGAACTGGCTGAATGGCAAAATTGGAAAGTGCATCAAATTGCCCCCGCAATTTATGTCGCAGTTAAAATGATTTTTTTTAATTTTTCAAATATTTTTCCTATAAAGATCACTACAAAATCTACGGACCCTCAAATTTTCAGAGTTGTTCAGTCAATCCTTCTGAGTGCAAAAAATCGTGGGCTACTTCCCCATTGGCCCACACGTGGTAGAGTGGCAAAAATGGAAAACACAACGGAATGGCACGGCATTTATTTCGCGGTCTTTTTTTTCTTTCTTTCATTTTTTTGATATATTTTTCCTGAAGAGATCACAACCTAATCTACAGGATCTCAAATTTTCGGATTTTTTCGTCAATTCTACTGAGCGTGAAAAATCGCCAAAGTTGGCACTTGAAAATCCTTTGACCAAACCCGCCTGCGCCTGCCGGTCGCCGCCCCCCCTAAGAACCCGGTCTGTAAGGCCAGCAAAGCCGAATTTAGGCCTGCGGGGGTAGCAGTGGTTTAAAGCATTACCATTGGTAGTACCTCTGCCAGTGTTTGGAAATTAGGGAAGCGGGAGGTCGGGCCCGGCAACGGCTGCCGTTGATAAATCTCATCTGCGGCCGTCATTTCGTTTCTCGGTCTCCTAGAAGGTCGGAGGCCCACCCCAGGCCTGCTATTTTCCCACTCGGCGAATGTACAAGTGGTTTAACCAAAACAAAACAAAAAAAAAAGCAAACAAACAAACAAAACAATCGCAGTGGGGCCACAACTGCCCCCTGGGTCCGTTAATGAGCAGTCTAACCTACTGTCGGAGAAGAAATGGGTCAGCAGGGATGGCACCCAAAAGGAGTCTCATTCAGCTCAGGCGTATTTTTAGTTGAGCTATGCTAAGGGTCAGACATGATAACTACCCTAATGAAGGTCTATTCTTATATACCCCCACAGGCCTATAATAAGGCCTATCATATACCATCAAGAGACTGTAATAGAGGCCTATCACATGCCGTCAGATGACTGCAATAGACCATCACGGGTCAAAAGCCTACTGCGTTAACAGTTCAAGATGCCCAACAATGGGCTCTTTGACCATAAACGACCAGCAAGTCTGAATCCATCGATCAAATGAACGCAAGACTATTCGCACGCTAAGTATGCTTCAACCGGGACGCCTCGCCTCTTCTGCAGTGGTCCAACATGGTACCGTCAAATCCCACAATGGGATGGGGCTCGGAAGAGAGCGACAGCTGATCACCTCCTGTTCAGCTTTGATTGTTGAGCTTTGATTGACTTCACTGATGATTCGCAACAGGCCTCTGAAGGACTAAAGCGGTAGATAGATAGATAGATAGATAGATAGATAGATAGATAGATAAATAAATAGATAGATAAATAGATAGATATCCGACATTTCCCTTGGAAGAGAGCATAGATAGATAGATATTGGATGTTTCCCTCGGAAGAGAGCGACGGGTGATCACCTCCTGTTGAGCTTTGGTTGACTTTACTGATGATCCGCAACAGCCCTCTGAAGGACTACAGCGATAGATAGATAGATAGATATAGATAGATAGATAGATAGATAGATAGATAGATAGATAGATATCGGATGTTTCCCTTGGAAGAGAGCATAGATACGTCCTGTTGAGCTTTGATTGACTTTACTGATGATCCGCAACTGGCCTCTGAAGGAATACAGCGATAGATAGATAGATAGATAGATATCAGATGTTTCCCTTCTGCTCGCTCTGGCCAGACCTTTCTGTTCCTCGGGCACAATTTAATTTATTTCCAAAGGGTACGAAGTGGATAGCTGTCAACCCAGCCAAGGACTGCTTAGTCAGGCTTACCCAACCAAGTGCTGACGGACTCGTACTGCTATGTGCTCTTTCGAGTCCATCGATTTAGGCAACCAGTTGTAGAACCCTCCAAAGAGGGTAAAAGGGCGGGGTAGGGAGGCAGGAGAGGGGAGCCTGAACCTAGCGACGCTTACCAGTGAGGATACCGAAAATGTAGTGGGGGAAGAACCGAACCGAATGACCAGCAACTGTGTGTGCCGAATGCGCATCGACTCCCTCACTACAGACTTCATTGCCGTCCACGAGGGCCAACCTTGACGGACTGCAGACAAAAAAAATACCTACCAGCTTCCGGTTAGCGCACAGCCCCTGACTGATCCGAAGCATTCCTTGTCACAAATACAGGAACAGGAACAGGAACAGGAACGTGAACTTCACCTGGTTTGCCAACAGCCGACAAAAACGCAATCTGACAGTCGAGGTAGTCCATGTTTAGATGGAGTTTCTGTGATGATCAACGTCAAAGGAGCACTCTAGGCTTGACTCATAGATCCGCGTACCTTGCTACCAGTGCGAGGGTTTGCAGTTTAAAACTGAATGGGGAATAGTCGCTTTGCCCTCGTACCTGAAGCTTTCGCATTGGTATTAGTTTGATCATATCAACGGATGAGTGCGCGGCTGGAAATGGATGCCTTCACTCCCCTTCTTGAGCTTTTCGTTCTTCCAGGCTTTTCTTCCTGTCGCGCTTTTCCAGACCGCCTCGCTTGCCCATCAACACTCTCATCTCTGCATAAGATCTGACGAGCTCTCTCTCTCTCTCTCTCTCTCTCTCTCTCTCTCTCTCTCTCTCTCTCTCTCTAGCTGCTCTCTCTCTCTCTCTCTCTCTCTCTCTCTCTCTCTCTCTCTCTCTCTCTCTCTCTCTCTCTCTCTTACCTGAATCTTTCGCATTGGCATTAATTTGATAATATAAATGGATGAGTGCGCGGCTGGACACGGGTGCCTTCACTCCCTTCTTGAGGTTTTCGTCCTTCCAGCCTTTTCTTCCTGTCGCGCTTACCCAGACGCCTCGCTTGCTCATCAAACACTCATCTCTACATAACATCTGCCGAGAGCCTCTCTCTCTCTCTCTCTCTCTCTCTCTCTCTCTCTCTCTCTCTCTCTCTCTCTGTGTGTGTGTGTGTGTGTGTGTGTGTGTGTGTGTGTGATGGAATCAGAGAGACTTGAAAGAAGGACCAATACAGCCAACACCTAAGACTACATGCATCATGACACTTACAGATTTTCGCATCAACTCCTAGCGAGTTTACAAAACAACAAAAAACGAAGTAACAACGGTTGTGCAAAATTCAAAACCACCGGGATTGCTTGATTGCCCTCCGAAAGTAACCCATCACAATAGCATTTATACACCCTCAAAAAAAGTGTCTATCACCCCTCTCCTCTCCCTTCTCTCTTATCCCTCTCCCTACTTTTCACTTCCACAACCATCGATCTATCTATCTATCTACCTATCTACCTATCTGACGATCGATCGCGTGTTAGTCTCTCTGCGCTGGCCTCCAACATTCACTCATGTTGAAAATAAATGACAAATTCGCTGGGTCTCGTCTTCTCTTATTGAAAATCGACTAACCTGCAAACCTTCACAACGGGCCTGTCAGGAGTTTCTTCTTCGTTCCTGCTCTCCCCTCTCACATCACATCATTAATGTCTTCGATATTGTATTAACTTCTTGATGGAATGAGTTGTTCCGCCTCCTCGACCTGCTGCTGGCTGGAGGAAGACGAATCGACCACCACCTCCTGCACAAAATGCGGTTTCAGCAGCTTTGCAATATGAAACGCGTTGCTCTCGTCTGCTCCAAACAGTGTTTTCAAGGTGGCATCGAACTTCACGAGCTTAAGATCCTTCGTATCCTGCAATTGCTTTTCCTTGATGTACACCCAGATTCGTTTGATCACATCTGCCCTCGACATCATCGTCTCCCCACCAAGAAATCTGGACAATGCCGGTGACAAGGGTAGCGGCTTAGTGAGACCCGTGACCCTCGGGGTTCCGCTCGGGTTGGGTGTTCGTACGCGCCTGGTCTTCAAGCGTTTGCCCCTCTTGCGTCGGCCCGTCACACCGTCCACCTCTTCCTCCTCTTCCTCTCCCGCTCCCGCCTCTTCGCCTTTGAGCGATCGATTCAACAACTTTTTCCGCGGACGACCTCTCTTCCGAGCGAGCTTCGCCTCCGCGGTGTCTTTCGCCTTGAGGATCATAAGAGCCTCGTCGAGTGTCACGCTTACAGGATCCGTTTCTCGAGGGACACGCACCTTCGTCTCCCCCTTCTCCACATATAAGCCGTACTTCCCGATGCAAAGCATCACCGCTGAGCCATCTTCAGGGCTCTCTCCCAATTTCCGGGGGCAGTCGAGGAGGAGCAGGGCCCCCTCCAGAGTTATATCTTCTGGACGGAACAACTTCCCCAGGGGCACTCGTTTGACCAAGCCCTTGTCGTCCGATTCCGCGGGGTCGTCCTTGGCGGCCGCCGCCGGTGTTTCTTTGTCTTGGCTAGTAGAACGAGATCGCTGTACGTAAAAGCCAAACGGACCCTTCCGGCAAGTCACTTGAAGACCTGATTGGGGATCGACACCCAGGACCCTCTGTTCAAACTCGGCGCCCTCGGTGAAGGCCTTGATCGTGCCAACGTGCGTGCATTCAGGATACCTCGAGCAGCCGAGAAAGGCTCCAAAAGTACTTAGCCGAAGCATGAGCTTGCCTTCGGAGCACTTTGGGCACCTGCGCCGTTGATCGTCGACGGACTGTCCCGCCTCCTCCGCGATCGACGAATCTGTAGCGCGATCGGCAGGACCGTCAGACGACAGAGCCGCCGCCGGCGGCGGTGGTGGCCTGAACAGCAGATCGTCCATAACCTCTTCCAACTTGCCTAAGACTTCGGCGAGCGGGATCTTCATCGTCTCGCTCACATTCTCATCGAAAGGGGTCCAGAAGGAGGACAGCACGTCTCTGTAGCCGACCTGGCCTGCAGACACGTCATCCAGCTGCGATTCCAGAGCGGCGGTGAATCCGTAATCCACGTAGCGCTGGAAGTAGTTCGAAAGGAAGGACGATACCAACAATCCGCGCGAGGTCGGGACAAGCTTGCCCTGCTCCACGTTGACGTAATTCCTGGTCCGCAGCACCTTCATAATGGTCGCGTAGGTGGACGGCCGCCCAATGCCCGCCTCCTCGAGTTTCCTGATAAGAGTTCCTTCCGTGAATCTATTCGGCGGACGAGTGAAGTGCTGAATCGGATCGACCTTCTTTTGAGAGAGACTCTCTCCCTCCTTGAGTTCGGGCACCTCCTCCTCCTCCTCCGGAGACTGTTTCCCCTCCTTCGAAGCTCCTCCGTGGTCTGAGTACGTGGCAAGAAAGCCTGGGAATAAGAGGCGGGAACCAGTTGCCCGGAGTCTCGCCTCTACCTCGCCGCCGCCGCCCTTCACGCTGTCGATATCGATTGCCACTTGCTCGTGGAGGGAAGCCTCGGCCTGCGACGCCACTGCTCTCTTCCAGATCATGGTGTACAGTTTTAAAGCGTCCTTGTCTAAGACAGAGACCAATGCAGAAGGGTTCATCTCGAAGTTCGTGGGGCGAATGGCCTCGTGGGCCTCCTGGGCGTTCTTCAGCTTCATCTTGAAAACCCTCGGCTTCTCAGGAACGTAGGCGGGCCCGTACTTCGCCTCCAGGTAGGAACGAATGTCTTGCACCGCTTCAGCCGACACTTGCACTCCGTCTGTGCGAATGTAAGTGACCAGCCCAGAACTCTCGCCCTTGCCCATGTTCACCCCCTCGTAGAGCTTCTGCGCGATGGTAATCGTCTTCGTTGCGCTGAAGCCGAGCTTGGCCGACGCATCCTGCTGCAGCGTGGACGTAGTATAAGGAGGGGGTGGGTTGCGTCTCACCTGCTGTGTCTTCACACTCGACACGCGCAGGTCCGAGGCCGCGATCAGCTCCACCGCCGCCTTTGCTTCCTCCTCAGAAGCTATTCTCCTTCCGCCGCCGCCGCCGGCGCCGCCGGCGGAGAGTTCGAGCTTCTCCCCATGCAGGTGGGTCAGTTTGGCGGGAAACACGCTACCGTCCCCGCTCTCTACCAGCGCCTCGACCGTCCAGTACTCATGCGGCACGAAGGTCATGATCTCCTCCTCCCTCTCGCACACCATTCTCAGAGACACCGATTGCACTCTACCTGCTGACTTGCTTCCCGGCACTTTCCGCCATAGAACGGGCGATAGTCCATAACCCATCAAGTAGTCGAGAGCGCAGCGCGCCAGATACGCGCTCACCAGTTCTTGACTGACATCTCTGGGGTTCTTCACCGCCTCCAGCACGGCCCGCTTGGTGATCTCGTAGAAAGTCACTCGCTGGATTTGCAGGTCGCTGCGCAAGGCGCCCGAGGCCTTCAGCATCTCCACGACGTGCCAAGATATGGCTTCGCCCTCCCGATCGGGGTCCGTGGCCAGGACCAGCCTGTCCACCATCCCCAACAACTTCTGCAGCTCGTTCAAATGCTTCCATGGTTTGTTCACCCAATCAATGGCGAATCCATCCCCTGGGCGGATGGCATCTGCGCTCTTCGCGACCTCACGCACGTGCCCGAACGTGGGCAAGACGATGAAAGAATCCCCCAAGTACTTCTGAATGGTTTTCGCCTTGGCGGGAGACTCGACGACGAGAACTGCTTCCACGCCGGCGTAGGACGGTGACCCCTCCTCTAGAGCGCTTTGCGGCGCAGCGACGACGCCCGCCGACGACGACGCCACATGTAATCGCCGGCTCGATAACGACGACGGCGACGAATCCTGGCGCTCCGCACCCCAGCTCCCGTCTTTTCCGCCGCACCGCGGTCGCACAACAACAGCACTTTCGCAGCGCAACCTGTTCTCGCTCACCGCGTCCGAACTGTTGCAGCTGCTGCTGCTGGCCCCACCTCCCACAAGCACCCTCGTTCTTCCGACTGAGAACAAGTCCCACTGTCGCACACTTAAGAGCGATGTGCCGCGTGCTCCCCGTAGCGATGCTCCTAGTAACGACCATGTCGTCCCAGCCACACTGTTGATGCTGATGTTGCTGCTGCGGCGGCACTCGCTGCAACCACCCGCCTTGTTGCCGCACACCGTAATGAATCGCCCCCGCAGCACTCCGCACCTCGACCGCCTCGCGCCTGATGGCACTACGTCCCGATGCGGCGGACACTCCGCCCTACATTGCTTCCATCCGCTTCCCCCCAGACCGGAAGCGCCGGGATTACGACAAGTGGTGGTCCTCACCACCTTGTTCGCGAAAGGGAGGGACGACACAGCGCGCCGATATTCCCGGGCAACCACCCTCGACGTGTGGCAGGTGTTCGACGAAGACTTGCTGCTGCCGCAAACTGCCTGTGCTGTAGAGGTACCCGAAATCCATGACTTCACTAATGAAGCCATCTGGCTTTCCACCTTTCCCAGTGGTTGTGCCAATCGGCTATAGATCGCCTCCCTCCCCCGTCGAGGGATTAAAATCGACGCCACGGCTCAGTAGAAAAGGGAGAAGAAAGAAAAGAAGAGAGAAAGGAGAGGAATTTTCCGGACTCGCTACAGCCTGCCACTCCACCGGTTCGTGGTAGTGGGTTTACAGGAGGCATGCCATTCATTACATTGCCAGCTGCCGGCTCCCACTCACTCGCCCGCCATGCTCACGCTCCACTATGCGCTGCTTCGG